TTCGAATAAAACCTACACCCCGCTATAATTACTTTAGTAAGCTGTCCAGACCAATCAAAATGTTTTGCGCAATTGTGCAAACGTTAAAACAATTATGTATTGTGACGTCATCAAAAGGCGCAGGCCCCCGTGTCAATCTGGCAGCCCGAGTCAATCTGGTACCTACACCGGCTCCGTCATGCTGGTTTTCCTTCCGTATGAGCGCCACAAGCGTCACGTCACGTGACTAAGAAAGCGTAACGGGATTGGCTGGGTGTTGGACGCCACAATCCATCGCTAATATCTGTGACCTGAAGTAACCCATCCCTTTTTACACTGAATTTAGACGCCGGATTTAAGACGGTGAAATAGAGCCAGTTGAATCTCAGGAGGCTGAAAATATTGAGTTTGAATTTTGAAAAGTTGAATTTTTTTATATGCAGATTTTTTTTAACACTGAAAAATAAGTATTGAAAATGTAATCACTTTGAAATAGGAATGTGAATTTTTAGCTTGAAGAGAAAATAACAAATTAAATTTCAACTGTGTAGAAATAATAACAATGAATTTTTTTTAGGTCAAAAATGTGTTCTGAATATATTTTAACACTGAAACAGTAAGTACAAACATACAACATTTAAATCTCAGTGGCATTTTTAATTCAAATCCCAGCGACACAGATTTACTTCCGTATGATTGTTTTAATGTCTTTCTTTTTGTAAATGGTGTCCATGCAGTTAGCTTTGGCCAAGACCTTAGAAAACATAGAGCAGACTCGCTCTGAGATCCAGCAGCTCTTCAATCAATGTGAAAACACCATCAAGCAGAAAAAGCAACTGGACTCCAATATGCAACAATGCGCTTTGGTAAGGTGCTACTGGTGATAAAATCTACAGCTACTTTACAATTTTTCTAAACCAAAACTATCTTGGAACTTGAGCTCTTTGCTTCTGTTTTCATTCCAGCATCTTGCTCAAGGCAAGCAGCAAATATGGGAAAGGAATGCCAGCATTACAGAGCTGAAGCACAGGTTGGATACGGAGATGAAGAACAACGAGGAGCTTCAGAGGAACATCGCAGCAAAAAAGAGGCAGGGGGTGATATTACAGCAGCAGCTGAAGGAGCAGGAGGACGACATTGGCAGGATGCAGGATGAGGTGAGTTATCAATCCAAACCTCACTGAATGGCAGCGTAATCTCCCTGTCTTAAACCGTCTGTCTTGCAGCTCAAAAGCAGCAAAGTCATGCTGGACGGAAACCTGTCCGATGTCAGGTTTATGAAATCCCAAATATCCAGAATGAAGAAAGACATCGCACGCAACGATGAAAAGTCAGTGAAACATAAGGCATTGCAGAGTCCAAGTCACTGGGTTAAACTGCACAGATTCTGTGTTTGTGTTGCAGAATAAAGGAGGGTGAGGTTTACAATGCTGCTCTGGAGGAGAAGCTGAGGAGTGTGATCCAGACTGCTCTCAATGAGGAGGAGAGAGCTGCTCAGATGGAGCAGATGATTAAGGAAACTGATCAGGCCATCAAGGTGAGATGCTGAACAGCGCAAGCTTATGAGCAGTACAAAGATCCTTCCTTCCTGACTGACGGACGGACGGACAGGCGGACGGATAGATGGACGATCAGTCAATCAAAAACAGGATCCAGATAAGCAGAGCTGTTTTGATCAGGGTGCTGTGCAGTTCTTCTCCAGTGTAACCCTGTGCTTCATACTTCCTCTAGAAGTTGGAAGTTCAGCAAAATTACCTGATGGAGGAGCTATTCCGCCAGAAACACCAGTTCAAGCTCCTCAAAGAGAAGGAGAAGAGTCTCACCACCCAGATTTCGACGAAGAAATTCACCACGTCCAGCTTGCAAAAAGAGCTCACTAAGCTGGAGAAACAACAGACTGATCAGCAGATGATCATGAACAAACAGGCATGTTTTGTTCTCAAACTCTTCAACGTCTCTAAGAGTAGCGCTTCACTGTAGAGCGTCTGACTTTCATTCTGTCTTTCATGCTTTGAATAGGTCGTTAAGATACATTGGCTGCAACTCCAATTAGCCAAGCTGAAGGGTGACGTTCATGAGGATGAGAAAGAGGTGTTGGAGACGAGGCTTGGTGAGCTGAAAAAAACTCTGGAGGAAAAGAAATCGACAGCCAAAAGTCTTAAGAGTGCGCTTGGGGACTGTGAGGTCTGCTACATACAATATCTCAAAGATGTTTCCTTTAATGATCCAGCGAAACGACATTGTTTGACATACTGCAAGCATGTCTTTGGCAGGCTAATATACACTTTATGAGGAAGGAGATGGAGAAGTCAGAGGCCCTGAAGAGAGACCTGTCTGACAGGGTCCAGGAGAAGGACCAAGTTTCTGAATATCTCAAAAAGGAGTTGAAGAAGCTGCAACTGAAAAACATGGTCAGTATGCTGGCATTACATATGACTGAGTAAAGGTATCAATCATGCAAAGCGGAAACAATCCAAAACCCTCACCAACACAGGGAAAGTTTTTATCACACTCAAACAGTCATTGTTACACAGCAGCCATCGTCATTGATGCAGCAATATGAGAAAATCTCTCCATCTCTAGTGATGGTGAAAGGTCACATTCCTACGGAAGAGGATTAGGGCCACTGAAAAAAAAAAAAAAAGTTTACTGATTTTAAAATTTTATTTCAATTTAGTATTGGAAAAAAGTCAGAATTCTGACTTTAATCTCAGAATTCTGACTTTTTCTCAGAATTCTGACTTTAATCTCAGAATTCTGACTTTAATCTCAGAATTCTGACTTTTTTCTCAGAATTCTGACTTTAATCTCAGAATTCTGACTTTTTTCTCAGAATTCAGACTTTTTTTATTGTCAGAATTTAGTCAGAATTCTGAGAAAAAAGTCAGAATTCTGAGAAAAAAGTCAGAATTCTGAGAAAAAAGTCAGAATTCTGACTTTAATCTCAGAATTCTGACTTTTTTCCCATACTATACTGAAATAAAATAAAAAAAATCAGTTAACTTTTTTTTTTTCCAGTGGCCCTAATCCTCTTCCGTATGTATGCAATCACACGTGTATTGAAAAGAAAATGCATAATGCATATGGAAAGACTCAGTGTATCACATACATTGCAAAATAAAACTCCTGTAGGTAAACTACATTTTTTTTTTTTTCATTTGTCAGAATTTTTGATGAAGACTCTAGTTTCAAAACGTTGAGTTATTTTCTGACAATTAGTTCAAGGTTTAGGATTCACAGGGTTAAAAAACAAGGAAGTCCAAAGAATGATGCTTAGAAAATATCAGAGCGTACCCAGAGAGCGTCTAGACAGGAAGCCAGCGCAGGATTAAAAGTACATTTTTATTTTTTAATTTTGCTTTCAAACCTTCTGGGTGAACCCCTTTTTATTTGGTTTCAACTGCAAGATGTAAAAATAACCTATAGTGCAAGAATACCAACAAACAAATCAAATAATTCAGGAATTATGATAAGTGTTTTTATACATCCTTAGGATTGTAAAACAAGGTTTTAAACAAAAATCTATCTTTATTCTGTAAAGAAATATTTTATCTGTCCACTCAAGTGTACTTTATGCATTTTTTATATGGTAAAAAAATCATTATACCAACAAAGTAGTTGCATAGATATAGTTGTAATTTAGGTTTACAGTTGTAATATGGTATTCTGTTGGAATGGTGATTCCTCTAGAAACATGTAGAAACTGAAAAAGCTGAAGTGTCTGGTTTCTTTCGCTGACTTTTTTTTTTTCCATTGCAATGATCAACAAATGGGGTTTTTTGTATGGGAACTTTAATTACTGCCAGCCCGCTCCATCATTCTTCTACCATAGAAGATCTCAGGTAATTTAGTTTTGGAAAAGCTCTGCTCTGCAGATTCAGCAGTAACAGGGAGAGTAAAGTCCATCAGAAATCCAAGAGATCTTGGATCCACTTTACTACAATTAAAGGTTTAGAAGTATTAGAAATACTTGCAACAAACCTTGTTGGTGGGCCCACATGTTTCTGTTGGTGGTTCCCTTCAGGGTCTTCATAACTTTATTTCTTCCTATAGATACTTTAATCTTACAGGTCTAGCTCCCATAGGCATGAATGGTCTGACCAGTTCATATAGTGGTATTGTCCGTACCACTATATGGACGAAACAATCAATTTTGATTGGGTGATTGATTGTTAAAATTGTTGTTATCTGAGTCTATGATTGATTGTTTGGTAGAGTAAACAAACTATTTTAGTTAAAAACACCCTCAGAGCAGTTATGCAATTATGGTAAAATGGTAGAAAAAAAAAAAAGTTGAAGTTTTAGCTTCGACTTTTTTAATTGTCTTTATAGAAATATCTTTGAGGGACCTTTTGCTGTCTGATTATTAATTAAAAAGAAAATCAGTTGATTAATCAATTAGCAAAATAACCAGCAGTTTCAGCTCTAGTTATCTGTCTTTTTGCCATCAGGATGTGAAAGTGGAGAACAACGTCTTACGGAGAGAAGTTGGGCGTGTCCGGGATCTCGTCTACGTAGAGGCAGAAAGCATGCTGTCCCTGGAGATGAGGAAGTTAGAGCTGGAGAAAGTCATGCAAGAGAGGGAGCAGGAGATTAAAGTTTACACAGGAATGCTCAGACAGCAGCTGAAGATTACTGAGAAGGACAGGCAGCATCTGAGGTGGGAAAGCCTGTAGCTCATCTAAAGCGCAACAAAAAACATAACCGTACCAAATGTTTATGTCTTTATTTCAAGCAAAAACTCTGTAATTTGTCCCTTAATTCTGTCTCAGCATGGAATTAAATGAAAAACTGTCCAAAATTGACAAGATGAAGAAACGTTTTGAAGCCATGGAAAAAAATATGACTGGTCCTGAGGAGAAATACCAGACTTGCATCACTAAGGTGGGGAACCTTTGACCGTGCAGAGCCCGTATGCTGCAGCCCTCCAATCACCTCCAATCATTGCTGCTTGTTTTTTGTTTTTTTACTAGGCTGTGCTAGAGAAAATGGAACTTCAACAGAAAACAGATGAAATAGACGCTCAAGTCCGCAAGATGGAGCTCGAAACTAAAGCCCTCCAGAACACTGTGCAGCTGTTCACTGATGGCTCCTCCTTCTTTCACAGTCTTCTCAACAAAGCAACGAAATGCTGTACGTATGACGGAAAGTTCTGGAAGAAGATGAAAGTCACATTAGCTGGAAAACATACAAACAGAGATGAAACTTAACAGAAATGTTTTTTCAAGGTCCAGAGTATCAGGAAAACGAGAAGCAACAGGAGGAAATGAAGGCCACCGAGGAAAAGCTGAAGTTAAAGAAGCAAGAAGTTTGTTCGCTACGCGAGGAAATCCAGGTTCTTTAGAGTTTAAGGATAAGTTAATAGCAGCATAATGCAATGCATTAATATTATCTGTTAAAAAAGAACAATCTAACCACGGTCTGAGGATTACACATATGAAAATATACCCTGATGCTTTGGTGTTTGGAGGGTCCCAAATGTTTATATCTGTTGAATTTTCCCAGATTATTTTTCTCCCTAGGTCTCCGGGTTTGAAATTATTTATATTTTCTAAAAACTTTGAAGTATGTTACCGGATTATTTGTAGTTTTCGTTTTTTTTCTCTACATTTTCTATCACATAAAATCTGAATAAAGAAACAGTTTGAAATCTCTTAACCCCACACTGCTCCTAGCCTGGTGAGACCATCCTGATCTCGCGAGCTTTCAAGGTTTCACTCGCAGATCAGTCTGGAGACTCTCCGTTAAAGAAAATCTGGAGCCGTTCACCAAACGAACGTCCAATCAGCGTTGGCTTTGAGGCGGGTTGAGGTGTGACGCAACGAGAAGCGCGACAGTTCAGTCCAAAGAACAT